TGTAATATCATTTTATCATATTAGGCTGAGCACAAAGAGAATAGAAAATGTACATGAAAGTATATATTATTTAATATATATATATATATATATATTATATATATTTATTATATATAACCACAATTCATACCCGTATGTGTGTATATACGAGGTGTGTTCAAAAAGTACCCGGAATTACTAATAATTAAATTTCGCGGGTCTGGAGTGTCTGATTGTCAAAATTTTTTTTTTATTGTGTTGGTATACATGCCCCTAAAGTATGATGAAATTTTCAGCTATATTCACTGTTTACTTTGTCTGTGGTAGTCGCTAAGGTTCGACGTGTTTTTCTGAGCTCGGCGATTTTTACAATGGAAGAATTGAAAAGTCAAAGAATTTGTATTAAATTTTGCGTAAAAAATGAAATAAAGTGTTGCAAAGTGCAAAAACTCACCAGATATGGCTCCGTGTGACTTTTTCCTATTCCCAAAGTTGAAGAGACCCATGAAAGGACGGCGGTTTTCCTCGATTGAAGAAAATCGCTGAGAGTGCTCAAGGACATATCAAAAAGTGAATATCAAGGGTGCTTCGAAAATTGGAAAAAACGCTGGCATAAGTGTATTATATCTGGGGGGGGGACTACTTTGAAGGGAACCACATCAATGTAGACGAATAAATAAATATTTTTTTGAAAAAACGAAAATTCCGGGTACTTTTTGAACAGACCTCGTATATACATATATATATATATATATATATATATATATATATTTACATATATATTTATTTTGATTAACATTAAATTACCTAATTTCTATGATGTACAGTTCCTATTTGGGAATCTTTTCTACGCTATTGTTATTGTGCATTCAAATAACACATTACAAGTACACATTAACGGTGTTTTATCCCTTTGCACTAGCTAGAATTTTATCATTAATCGTGAATTTCCTTTAAATAAAAACTAGTTGGATTGGTATTTAGCCTTGAGGCAAGTTACATGAACTTCCCGATATGTGTAAATAATCGACTTAATCAATAAAAAATAAATTAATTTATGAGTGATTATAAGTATTCCGAGTGGATTTATTACACATCATTGCAAACGAACGAACGAGTATTTTCTAAAAGCAAATTTTCAAAAATCAATAATTTTAATTAATCAATAATTATAATTGAACCAGTTTCCGTAGAACTTTAATGTTTTACTATGTTCAAGACCAAGTACACTATCGTTATACCAACTATATCGTCTAATTTTATTTTTAACAAACGTCAAAAAAACTACTCATTTTCTCAAACTTTGATGATTGGTAAAAATTAAACTACTTGTCGTAAGGCCGTAATAATTCAGTAAGTTCTATAAGACCATGATATATAAATCGCCAAAAAAAGTTCAATAAAAATCGGCATAATTTTTTTTGTCAACAGTTAATTACAAAAAAACGGCTCGGTAGATTTTCACCTAAAACTAATCAGTATCATTCCCAACTAATATCTTTCGAACAGCTTTTGATTTTTTAAAATCGGTTTGGTAGTATGAGCTTAAATGTGGACGAAAGGTTTAACACTTTTTTCCAAATTACAAAGAAACGGCTCGGCCGATCGTCGCACAAAACTGAGAAACGATAATCTTCATCGAGATACATCAAATGCTTTTTAAATATCTGAAATCGGTTTAGGCGTTTTTGAGCAAACGTCGAAGAAAGTTCTAATTTTGACAAGTGCCAAAAAGATCATACTAATTTTTGCAAACTTTGACAAATTTTCAAGGCTAAACCAGTTGTCGTAGCGCCGTAATATTTTAGTATGATCTAGAAGACTATGGTATCTACCGTCAAAAAAATAATCATAAAAATCGTCGAATTTTTTTTTAAACTTTATTACAAGAAAACGGCCCGGCCGATCTCTACCAGAAACTAATCACCACGATTCCCAACCAATATCTTTCAAACGGTTTTTGAATTTTCAAGATCGATTTAGAATTGCGGGCTAAAACGTAGACGAAAAATTTTTCACTTTTCTGCGATTTATAAAGAAACGGCTTGGCCGATCGTCGCACAAAGTTCTCATCGAGATACATCGAGTGGCTTTTAAATTTTTGAAATCTGTCTAGCCGTTTCGAGAAATTGTCGATTTACGGCAAAAAATCTGTACATACACGCACACACACATACACATACTTTTTCCAAACTTGGTCTCATTCGATTCAGAATGGCTTTAAACGTCGAGAAAACATAAAATTAGCAATTCGGATTTTTTTATGAAAACATAAACTTCTCCTTCGGGAAGTTAAAAAGATCAACGATTATACTTTGCCTGTCATTTGACCGTTCCTGAAAATCTATATAATGTGATTCCCTTTATCATCATTAAACGACGCAGATAATAATATTTCTTGCAATATCAAAATGCAATTATCAACACTCATAAACTTTTCCTGTGACATAGCCAAACCTAAATTAACCTTTGCACTAGCTAGATTTTTTTTTTAATTTGAAAATTTGCTTTATTTGACTTAAATACATACATTGAACACTAGCTAGAATTTCACCATTAATTATTTCATTAGTGTTTTTAGTATGTTCTCTAAACTGACTTAATATATAATTACGAGTCCTAATGTTCAATATTAGTGGGAGATCAGCAAAGATTTCAGCACATTTCAGACTTCATTCTTATTGTTTTTCCTGTGTTCATTCATCTCATATCAATACTTGTATACTTGTGAATGTGTTTAGTAAACCGTCTAAACATTTTACAATTATGCGTATTTTCCTTTTAAACTGCTGAAAAAATCGATGTAGAATTATTAGTTATGAACCTACATAATTAGAACAAGAATAATTTATATTTAGTTATTCAATAACATACCTTTTAGAGAGCTGATACGAATTCTCTTTGTCTATTTATACCCTTAAAACTTCTAGTATTGATACAGTTAAATGTCTCAAATATTTCTGAATTATTTAACTGTAATCATATCAGAATAGTACAATCAAATGAAAGTAATTTAAAGTATGCATATTAATAACAGTACTCACTTAGATTGAAAGCCGGCAAATATTATTAACCATTTTATTCTTACTTCGTCGTTTCTTGCTGGAACTACATAATACATGCATTTTTCTTGGTGTTTCTTCATCGTTAAACAATGCACTTATACAGCTTATTTGTTTTTTACTTTAACAAGCGTTTATTATATTGTCTAGGTAATCACTTGACAAAAAAATTATTACAATTGACGCCACGTTTGATTTACATCTCTGTCACTGTCATATTCGATAATTCGATCAAAATGAAAATAAGCGCGACCGGCGAAAGGGGCTCTAACTAAACTCGGACTACAGACATTTGTTCGGAGATTACCGGCCATGACTGGGTTATGTTTACTTATCTATGGGTGGGGCTCATAGACCTATCAATCTAATCTAATATAAGGTCTAATAAGACTAATAATATAAATAACTAATAAGGTCTAATAATATAAATCTAATAAGACAATCTATCTAAGGTCTATGTATCCAAGGTCTATGGTGGGGCTACTGAACAATATGCGATGACCAGCGCCTAATGTGTGATACATCACCTAGTTTTCCGAATCAAAAAAACTGAAGAGTGAAACGTCTGCATTATGTATTATTACGAGCCCTGGTGACATTTTGCAAAAATGGCTGGAGGGATTGACGTTAGTTCGAGAAAACCAAGAAGAGCTTGGGGGACGCCTGCTTATAAAGTTAGAAATAATTTTGGATATTCCGGTGTAATTGTTGGCAGTTTAATTGGGGCGATTTTTTAGTAAGGGCCGGAAACAATATCTACTTGATTTGCATTATGTATAAGATTTTGTGTAATTATAACCATAACGAATTTTAAAACTATTTGGAAAATAATAGATGATTTTCTTAAAATAGCAATAATATCTTGTCCATAAAATGTGTAATCATTTCAGCTTCTCTGTATCAGAAAACACGAGATTGAAATGTAAAGAATTTTTCTTTACACCGACTGATCATGAAATTGAGAAAAAACTTAGAATGTCTTTCACCCCACTGACACCTTCTGATTTAATTAAACAGGGTAGAGAAGAAGAAAAAGATCAATGATTGATGTGCTTTTTGTAAATAAAAATTTTGGAATAGTGTTGCATATTCATCAAAGATGAAATCAACTAATAATAGGTATAAAAATTATTTATCAATATGTTAGATTAACTTATGTTTGTCAAAATATTGAATTTAAATATTAAGTAAATAAAATACTTTGAAAATTATAACGTTTATTAATATGCCTTTTTAATGTTTGGACATGAAATCAATTTATATTTAATTTTCTGTCATAACCTAAAAATTTACATTAATAATTGGAGTAAATATATTTTAATTCTCAAGGGTTGTGAAATATTTATGGATTTTTTTAGCTTGTAATAATAGTTGAATTAAAATTTGTCCAGAACAAATTTAGATTTCCATGTGTATTAAGTTTGATTGAACTTTCTTTTGATTTCAGTGAAAAGTTTGAAAGTCAAATGTTAATCAGATATTTTGAATGTCCTGCATCTTCTAGAAGGGCTAATAGTGAAAACAAAATACTTGCATTAAATGATAAAACTTGTTTAGAGACTGCAGGTGAATTTGGTGATAGAGAGCCTTATATGAATTTTAATGAAACTGTTGACTTGAAATTAACAAATCCCACTAAAAGCCCAAGTATTCAAAAACATTATGCAAAGAATAGTAAAAACAGGAAGTGTAGAAGAAAAAATGACAACAAGCAACCAAAAATAAAAAAAGCTTTAGCTAAGGTATCTAATTATGAGGATAAACTTATGGAAGCCTATACTGAACAATCATTAATTGATGGATTTAATCCGGAAGATACACAAGTTGCCCTGGCCTTATCATTATCAACAAATGATTATAATATACGCAGTTTACCAAATACTCAAGTTCGAATGCACACTCTTAAGCAAACACTTGAGCAATTTGGTTTTAAAAATTCAAAACCTCGAGTTGTCAATTCAAATAGAGTGAATATTGCATTAAATAACATAAAATCAGCATTACTTCAAAGAAATACAGAACTGCAGAATCAAATTATGGAGCACAATATTGTTCATATTTTGAATGAACAAAAATGTACTCATCACAAATCTGACAAATATGCAAAATTTAGAATCTATTCTGACATTATATTATGCCATGTTTCGAAGATAAATGACTTATATAAAGTGAGTGCTGATGGATTGCTGAGTTATAATGGTTTGTCATTAGTAAACATAGATGACAGTGTTTTTGACTCACTTTTAAAAGATTGGGATAGTATTCCTGGTCGAAGTGGACATGTATGTGACGCTAATTCAAAATGGGTGAATGAAGATACGGGGGCAAATATGGTAATATCGAATAAAACTGATAAACAGCTGCATGAAATGTTAAAATACCAGGAGCAACATTTAAAAAATTGTATCGTAAAAATGAAAAAAGATTCAAAAAGTGTTATTTTAAACACTGCCTCAAGTGTATTCCAACCATTAAATAATTTGAATAATAACTTGCAAGTATCATATCGGATTGAATATTGCAAATCTCCTGATTTGTTTTCTGATTGTGAAGAAAGCTATCATAGAGACAATAAAAGTTTTTATGAAGAAAATGAGAAAGATAATATGGATAGTATTAAATTTTGCAAAGAAGATGAATTTGAGTCAGCTATTAGTGAGAACTCTTTACATATTAGAGCAAATAGAAATGTGACTGAATATGAAACATATCATGAAACAATGCCTTCAAATTTTTGCCTTAATCGTTTTTTTAATGACTTAAATAGTTTATCAAAACATGATACTTCTACAGGCAAAAATACTTTGATTGAATCTTTTGATATTTTTGATTATAATTCTCTTCAAAGTATAGAATCAAATAACAGTGTTCCAAATAATTCACATGTAATAAAACAAATTAATGATGACTTAAAATCAAATAATTTTAAAGATGAAATGAATGAATCATTATCAATATCACATTTGGAAAGAAATTTCTTAAAATATGCTGATGATAGTAATAAAGAATCTAGCAATAATTTAAAGAAATTGTCTGTAGTAATAAACAGTCAAGAGAAGCTGATTTGTGATGAAATTGCATTGTTTCCTAAATGTAAAAATATATCAGGTTGTCACAATACTTTTAAAAAAAATAGTTTCAGACATAAATTAGAAAGTGAATTTCTTAGTCTGATTGCAACAAATAATAAATTTGATTACAATAACAAGGATTTAAATGTATATATGATAAGTAGCTTGGGGCATCGAGATTGCTCCCAAAGTCTAAATGAATCTTCTTTAATATTGGAGAAAAATGTACATAACAATGAACTACATACAAAAGAAAGGAAAAAAAGTAATATATTCACAGATGATGGAGAAAATATAATACAGAATTCACATTTTTTTTCAAATGAACTCTCAAATAAAAAAAAATGTTCTGAAGATTTTCAAAGCAATAATAATTGTAAGCCACATTAGCAAGAAAATTACTTATGCTAAATCATTTATTTTTAATTATATATATATATATATATATATATATATATATATATGTATATATATATATATATATATATATATATATATATATATATATGAGTGAGTTCTTGAGGGCGATACATCAAACAAAGAAAAGGCAAAGATTTATAAAATAATCTTTAATTCCAAACGTTTCAACGTCAGTCGATCTAAAAACAGTATAAAAATTGATATAACAAAAAATTAACAGAACAGCAACACTTAACAACAAACAGAATATGAAAGATAGAAAAGATTATAAAAACTAGATATTAAATAGATAAAAAAGAAAAAAGAATAGATAAGAGAGATATAGAAAAAGATATATATAGAGATATAGAGATATATAAATAGTATATAGATATATAGATATATATATATATATAGATATATATATAAAAATATATATATATATATAGAGACAGAGGTACATATATACAGATAGACAGAGAATATATATACACATACATATATACATATAGACATACAAACATACAAAAAACATACATATACATCACATATACATATATACAGACACATAGACATAGACACAGATATACACAGATATACATATATAGATATATATATAGACATATAGATATATATATATATATATAAAATATATATATATATATATATATATATATTCAATAGATAACTGGTTTTCAATATATTGATTGTTTCTTTTCCGAACAGTAAATCCAATATAAAAACAATTTGTTTTTGAAGATGTTTAATACACGTTTCGGAACTAGTACGTTCCTCATATACTATCGAAACGTCGTATAAACATACTTCAAAAAACAAATTGTTTTTATTATGATTTATGTTCAAAAGAAACATCAATACATATATATTTATATATACATATATATATATATATATATATATATATATACACTGATGATGACATTAAATTGAATGTTGAAATGTTTGAAATTAAAGATTAATTTATAAATCTTTTTTTTTCCTTTTATGTATCGCCCTATAAAAATTTACTCATATATATATATATATATATATATATATATATATATATATATATATGGAAATATGAACAAACAACACTCTTTTTAGCTCTAATTTATTAAGTAATCATTTTCACAACGATTTCAAACGATTCCACTTTACTGTTCTCCATAATCATTGACGTTCTTCCGCTTTGCTTGGCCAGGTGGAGTGACCAACCCTACCTACATGTAGGGGAGTTTTGCACACGGTAGCTATTTTATTTCACTCCTACCCTATGTTCCTAACCACTAAGCAGGCTTAGCGAGCCAAGAACAGGGAGGGCTTTCTCCAATCCACACGTGGAGACGCGCCCGGTAGCAGTTTCTCCTCAGCCCCGAGGTCTGTATGTATGTATATATATATATATGTGTGTGTATATATGTATATATATATATGTATGTGTGTATATATGTATATATATGTATATATATGTGAATATATGTGTATGTATATATGTGTGTATTTATCTATGTATGTGCATGTTGTATATGTGTTGTTTTGTACTTTGGGTATACATTTGTATATATGAGTATGTATATATATCTACATACATTTTTAATTAGAACAATTTAAAACAAATTTTATAAACAAACCGTTTGTTTCATAGAATATTTTTTCCCCTAACGACATCTATTTTTCAACTGGACCCTAATCCTTCCTTTCCTATCGCGTGACTATTGAATTTCAAGTGGTTTTCAAGTGATTAGAGAATTCGGACTTCGACGATCGTTGGTGTGGCAGAAGACAGTGTATCGAGCGACTTGTAACGAATAACACATAATGCTAATTTAGGTTTCCATATTTTAAATTTTAAATTATGACACACTGATGATGAGACAAACCTAGTCTCGAAACGTTTATGAAAATTATTATTTAATAAATTAGTGCTAAAAAGAGTGTTGTTTGTTCATATTTCCAAATTAATATCTATTATCCACTCAGAATACATTTGTTATATATATATATATATATATATATATATATATATATATATATATTAAATGGTAGAGTCTTGAACTTGTGTATATTTTGTAGAGTTTCGGACAAGAATCCAAAAAGTAATAAAAAAAAAAAAAGTTTTATAATAAACAGGATCCTGTTATATAATCCACTCATTTATTTTTATCATTTTCATTTTGATCATATTATCATATTTCTGTACATTATTTTTTCAACTAATTTATTAATCAAAAAATCCATTTTCTTTTCTTAAACATATTGTTTGCTTAAATCTCATCAAGATCATGTTTCTTGACAGATGTCTTGAAGATGGAACTACCTAGTTCCGAAACGTCGAAATAAATAAAGAAATAGTTTATTAAAAAACTTTTTTGTTTGTTTTTTATTACTTTTTGGATTCTTGTTCGAAACTCTACAATATATATATATATATATATATATATATATATATATATATATATATATATATATATATATATATATATATATATATATAATATATATACATGTATATATATATATATATATATATATAATTTATTAACTACAACCAGGTTCTTCTAACATTGAGTCACTTCTACAAGATGGTACAATGCTTTTATCAGATGGAGAAATAAAATACTCAACGAGTACCCCATTTAAAAAATATAGTCTCAGATCAGGTGCTAAATTTAATTCTTCAAAATTAAATTTGCAAGGAAGAAATCTTCTTAATTCTTCATGTTGTTTTTCAAACCAGAAAGAACTAGATATTATGCAATCAGAATCAGGTGAGTTGATTATGAAATATATATCGCTAAGAGATCCTCTACAATCTACATACATGTACATAGAAGCATGCATTTCAATAGGATTGAATTAAATGTGTATATATATCTTATATATAAAAATGGAGCTCTCGATCAAATGATTCGGTAAAACTCGAAAACGGCTAAACCGATTTAGCCAGTCTTAGCCTTGAAAAATTCGTGCCAATCCAGAGTTGGTCGGAAAGGTGAGATAATATTTCAAAATCGCGTAGAAACTTTACATTTTCAATTTGAAATTTTTTGTAGAAGCGTAATTTAAATAAAACAATGGACGGTGGCAAATGTCAAACGTTTTTGACAGATGATATTTAATTACGTTTAATAGGATGTTTTACGTGAATATTATTTAATTATTATTAAATTGTAGTAAGTAGTTTTGTTTGTAGTTTGATTTAAATACAAAAACGTTAGTAAACGGCCCGCAAGTGTTCCTAGAGACTCATTGGTATTTATAAAACATTTTATAGGTTATATTATTTTTTATTTACGTTATTTAAATTCAGAACCTAAATTTGGATGATTAAATCCAATCGATTAAATGGACATTTTGTCTAATAACATTTTCCCAGTTATAATTTCCCAGAATTCATCGAGGAATAGATAGTAATATATGAAGGTCCGGAGTTAAAAAGGTCCACCACCGATGTGTCAAAAATCAGTAAAGTTAAGCATTGTTTAACAACAATATTTGAAAGTAGAAAAAAAAATGTATAACCAGCTATAACCTTGATTTTTATGACTTTGCTATCGCGAGATAAACGGTAATCTTTGAAAATCCATAATAAAAGTATTTTCTTCCGTTGGTAGTTTTTTAGCATTAGTTAAAAATGTAATTATTTTGCCAAATACCTTTAAAATTAAAATAACTTTAAACGAGTTTGCCACCTGGCCGTTACAAGTTAAACCGCCTATAGGGTAAAAAGGTCTAGATAACAAATTTTTGAAAGACAGCAAAAAAGCACAATTCTACAATTATAAAGTAGTTGGCAGTTTTACTGAATGTAGTCAGATAATTGTTCGTTTGAAATGTGTTTTTGTTGTGATATAATTGGTTTGATTTTTATAATATAATTAATATTTGCTCAAAGTCAAATTGGACCTTTGTGCCTCTCTCTGCTGTACATATATACTTTTTATTGAATTTACTTTAATTCATCGAATGTTACTTGAAACTTTTCAAAAAGCAGGTTAAAGAAGAAATACTTAATTCATTTTCTATCTCTCCTCGCAAAAATTTGAAAATATTGTATAAGCTCAGTAGTATTATTTACAATTATACACAAAATCCAGAATCCAAAAAGAATCTGAAAAACTTGCAACGTAATCAATAAGTCACATATATATGTGACTTATTGATATATATTTATATATATTTAATATATTTGATATATATTTATATATATTTAATAATCTTCCGCATCATCTAATTATTACAGCTATAAAGAAAAGATGGATGCAAATAGTTGAGTTTACATATTTACCGATAGAAACTTTTATTTTAGAAATTGATTTACTTTTAAAAGCATCATATTTCACTTTTAATAAAAAATATTATACAATGTAGAGAGGTTATCCAATGGGCAGCCCCTTAAGTCCTGTTTTAGCCGATTTAGTATTACAAGATTTGGAAAATCATGTTTTAAACACTTTACCTTCCAAATCTTTGGTTTATTTCAGATATGTCTATGACACGTTAATATTACTTAATAATAAAGATATAGATAATGTTTTCAAAAATTTCAATGAGTACAATTCATATTTACAAATCACGCAGGAGCTAGGAAATGATTCTTTGTTACATTTTCTTGACGTAAAACTTATTAATGGAGGCGGTGTATGTTTCTCAGATTTTTTTTCACAGATTTTCTTCATTGAAACAATTATGATTTTTATATTCCAACACTAAAGAAAAAACGAAAACGAAACTCCTTTAACAAAAAAGAAAGATATAGTTTATAAAGTAAATTGTTTGGATTGTAATTGCTCTTATATTGGCCAGACCTGCCAAAACTTAGAAAAAAGACTCAGAGGCAACATGACTTACAATGCGAAAAAATAGATAACAAAAAATTTAAAAGTACACTTGTGGATCATGCTAATATCAACAACCATAAGTTTGATTTTGACAATGCCTAAATCTTATTCCACGAAAAAGACTTATTTAAACGGAGCATGGCAGAATCAATGTTAATAGTTTGGACCATATTAGTATAGTAATAAGTATATAGTATATTAGTATATTATCTAGGGTTCGGACCAACAATAGCATAAATCTGAGAACCGACACAAATATTTTACACGACACTTATATAAACATCATTAATAATTTATAATTGTTTCATTTATCTTATTCTCTTCAATACATTAATCTGTTTTTTCATATTTATCGATTTTTGTATGCGAGCGCATTCCTTTTGTTTACATTTTAATGTTACCCATCCTGTCTCCGTCACTACTTCAGATTTGTTTCAAATATTTTTTCAAGTGTCACATGTCTTTTAGTACCGTGTCAAGCATTGAATGAAACAATTGTCACTTGTCAATGCAAGGAATAGTTGGTGTTTTTTATATTCAAAAGTTAAATATAGTTTAAATAAAATATTAAAGAATGTATAGTATAGTTGTGTTAAAAATCTGAGTGTTGCTTTGTTACATATTTAACATTTAATATACGTTCCACTCATATCACAAAATTCTATAAATAAACAAATAAAGAAATAGTTTATTAAAAAACTTTTTTTGTTTTTTATTACTTTTTGGATTTTTGTTCGAAACTCTACAACATATATATATATATATATATACATATATATATATATATATATATATATATATAATATATATATACAGTAAACCCTCGCTTTACGCGGCAAGTGCGTACCGTGCAGTATGGGAACCGTGCTATAAGAAACTCGTATTTAACATACAATTCAGGCTAATTCGTAGTGCGTTCTATGGAACCTTACATAGTGCAGTATGGGATCCGTGCTATGAGAGACTCAGAGTTGGTACAAATCGTACCATTTTTATCGCGCTGTATGGAGACCAAGGAATACAACTTGAAGTAGGAGTAATACGGACGAAATGACATTTATGACATTGACACCTTATTCAAAAATTGGCGCGACACAGTAGTCAGCTCAAACGTGTTCTTAGGCAGCTATTATATAATCAAGCATGTCTAAAAGATAACAGTCGATAACAAAATTTACATCAATACCCGTTTGCACAACGAACTTATGGGCTGCTTACTAAATACCGTGTAATAAGAAGTCCGTGTAGTCGGAGGGATGTCGGATTTTTAGCTCCGTGTAGTATGGGAACCGTGTACCCAGAGTGCCGTGTAAAGCGAGGGCCTACTGTATATATATATATATATATATATATATATATATATATATATTATATTATTAGGTGTATAAATATCAAACCGTCCTTTTTTAAGTTGAAAAAACACGTTTATTGTAAGAAAATGGTACAAATTATTTTATTCAAAGTATTTGCCATCGTTTGCCACACATTTTTGCCATCTTTCCGCCAAATTGTGAATGCCTTGCCAGTAGAAGCGTTTGTTTTTTGAAGCAAACCATTCACCGAGCCAGTTTTCCACTTCTTCGTAAGTGCTGTTCAGCAAGCGCGTGTCCCATGAAGCAAACAAGTGGAAGTCAGAAGGCGCCAAGTCTGGTGAGTAGGGCGGGTGGGGTAAGACATCCCAGTGAATTGCGGCAATGGTGTCTCTGACCGGTTTTGATCATGTTGGAAAATCACTTTTTTGTGTCTGGTGACCCATGCTGGTCGCTTTTCAAGCAATGCATCATTCAAATTCATTATTTGCTGTCGATAACGTTGGGTATTAACAGTTTTGCCTGGTTTTAGAAGCTCATAATAAATCACACCCTCCTGATCCCACCATTTTGGCCTCGCAGTCGATGTTGAGGGTTGACCATCGACCCATGATTTTTTGCGTTTGAGATTCTCAAAATAGATCAATTTTTCATCCCCAGTCACGATTCGATGAAAAAAAGCTCTTTCTTTCGTGCCTTTCGAGAAGAATTTCACAAGTGGTTTTTCGGTTTTCCTGTTGTCTTTCGTTTAATTCATGTGGCACCCATTTTCCACACTTTTGAATCTTGTCCATAGCTTTTAAACGTAAGGAAATGCTTGCTTGTGTCACATTTAATTGTTCTGCAAGTTGTTTTTGAGTTTGACTGTCATCGTCATCGAGCAATGCTTGCAGTTCGGCATTTTCAAACTTTTTTGGTGGTCTTCCACGTTCTTCGTTTCTCAAATCAAAATTACCACTTCTGAATCGTCGAAACCACTCCTTGCACTGTGTTTCGGACAGAGCATGGTTACCGTAAGCCCAACAAATGATGACTTTCAGCAGCACTTTTTTTCAAATGAAAGAAGGTTCCCGCAAAATGAAAGAAGATCCCCGCAAAACCACATTTTCTGGCGCTGAATTCGACATTTTCAAAATGATGAAAAGCAATGTTCTGGTACGAATATTGAAACAGTGGGTATTTTTTATTATGGACAGATGTCAAAACAATAAGAAACTAGTGGGGTGTATGGCATCGTGCCTTAAGGCAAATTGCTGGAACATCCCGTACCGTAACGAAATGTTCGAGGAATACTGAATGTTTTGAAATAGATTATTATTAATATTGTAACATTGTCCAATATTTATAAGAATTATATAAACTGAATTGCAAAGTTGAAATTATTTGTTTAAAATATATTAGAACTACAGTCAGAATTAAAAATAAAATCTGAATTATTTTCGATATACAAATTTTTTTCCCCCAAAATCAATTATTTTGTTAAGACAAGCAGAAAGTTCTTTGAATCATATAAATCGGACGCTTAGTTCTCTCAAAAACTGCCATTTTTTACATATTTAGCTCCGTATCTTCGAAATGGCTGGACCTGCCTTTGCCAAAAACTAATAAACACTTTTC